GCATTAATTTGTCGGATTAGTAAAAAAAAAAATCCATCACTTCTTTTGATACATGTATATTATCTTACAGACTACTGAGACATTCTTCTTTTTCTTCCCTCAGCTGATCATGACTCTCCACAATATCCTGTCCTTTGTAACACTTAATAGCTTTTGTCTTTTTTTTTACCATCTCTCCTAAACCCTGTTCCACCATCAATTCACTTAAGTTCACCAGGTAGGTTATGAGTTGCTTTCGTCTGTTTCTCTTACTTTCAAACTGTCTTGTGAGTAGCAAATTTTCCAAGCACTCTTTCCTCATTATGTGCTGCAAAAATTTCAACTGTCTCTTCATGATGTTAAATATAAGTGTCCTTTGTGTTGTCATTGTTTCTAGAATTTTATCGTTGCTCACCTGTTCGGTCCATGGTATTCTCATTTTCTTTCTGTGAAACCACATTTCTGTTATTTCAAGTATATTCTTCATCTGTGAGGAGATTGTCGGGTGTTCACTGACATATAGGGGGACTGATATTACGTAATGTTTTCTCTGGTCATAACAATATTTTTCTGTTTCTTAATATTTTGCTTAGCTTTTGAAAAGCCTCTTTAACTGTTGTTTTAGCAAATTAGTGTATGATAATGCATTTCATCTAAAATTGGAAGAAGTATTTCAAAGTAAGATTCAAATATGTTTATCTTATCGCACATAAGCACAAAAATGTCAATCCAAAACGAACCGCTTTTACAAATATTGCAGATATAAGAAACTGATGTTGAAGATAAAAGGGTAGGAAATATAATAAAATCAGAGAGAACCAAGAAGACAGATATTCTGGATAATTCTCCAAATACACCCTCCATTCCCAGACTGTCAGTGTTGATGTTGTAAGATAAGAAGATATATTTGCGATAAGGACCTATTTTGTACCTCAAAGACGTTAGATTACACTTTCGTTCCTCTCTTTCTGAAAAAGAAAACTATTTTCATACACTTCACTAACAACCTTAAAATAAATATAAAACATTCCTCTAAAGCAACGCATTAATTATTTTTTCATATCACTTCGTTTATCCACTGACATGAAGTAGAAAAAGTATATTGAATCCATTACTAAGTCTGCAGCTAGGTAAGTTGGTCCACTTTGTCGAGCGAGGCAATTTTCTCGCCAGAATCTATCTTACATATTTATAAGACCTTGCATCGAATATTGCTGTGTAGTTTTTGCTTTTTAAGTCTGACATGAATTGGAAAGACTATACTGAATCCATTGCTAGATCTGCTTCTAAGAAGCTTGGTCCACTGTGACGTTCGAGACAATCTTTCTCTCCAGAAACTAGCTTACATATCTATAAGTCTACCGTTCGTCCATGCTTCGAATATTGCTACCAAATATGGTGCGGTGCTTCTGCTTTATAATTAGAGATTCTTGATAAAATCCAAAGAAGAATCAGCAATATTATTGATCCTGACCTGGCATCTCATCTTAAATCACTTTCTCACCGCCTTAAAGTTACTTCCCTCTGCCTTTTCTATAAATACTTTCATGGTAATTGATTGGATGAACTTTTCGCTATGGTATCTAGAATCGTAGCACCTTCCCAGGCTAACATTTTCCGGTGACATGACGTGGAAAGATTATATTAAACCTACTGCTAGGTCAGCTGCTAAGAAAATTGGTCCACTGTGTCGAACTAGTTAATTTTTCTCGCCAGAATCTATCTTACATATTATAAGACAACCATTCATCTTTGATTCTAATATTGCTGCCACATCTAGACTGGTTCTACTGCTATATATTTAGAGATTCTTGAGAAAGAATCTGCAGTGTTATTGCTCTTGACCTGTCATCTCAGCTTCAGTCACTTTCCCACCGACGTAAAGCAGATTCCCTGCGCCTTTCTTATAAATATTTTTATGGTAATTAATTTGATGAAGTTTCCTGTATGGTACCTTGACTTTATAAATTTAAGCGCATTACTAGACTGGCGGCAAGGTCTCATCATTTTATACTTGAAATTGCTAGATGTATCCGTAAGTTCTATGCTAACAGTTTCTTCTATCGCACTTCTCATTTGTAGAACTCTCTTCCGTATTTTTGCTTCCCAGTCGACTTTGTTCCTCAAATGTAATGTTAATCGTTATCTTCTGTCTTCTTAATTCTTGTTCTTTTATTGTCCATAGTGCTTTTTTTCTCTTATTCTCTAGCGCTCATTAACCCCTCGCGTCTTATTGGCTCTATTGCCTTGTTTAGAATAAAATTCACTTCAATGAATTTAAGTACTAAGCGGTCAATACATAGGACGACTAAGAGTTACATTTGCGGGTAAAAATCAATGTTGTTGTTTTTTTTTTGTTTTTTTTTGTTTTGTTTTGTTTTATCCTCTTCGTCTCTTGTCTCTTATTTTAGACATTTGATTTGTTTTTAGTTGGTTTGGTTGATTGGTTATTTTGTTCAGCATCATATCAACCTCTATGGGTTGTTTATTACTGAAATCTAAATATTTTGCGACGTAATATAATCTCGCTTCAACTACACGTATTTGTTGTATTTATGTGAATGTATAAAATAGCATCCGAAACAATGAAGATGATGCGACAAAGTGGAAAAAATTTTTTAACGATTCGTTTCGCCGAGAGCGTCTGCTCTCTTTGACATCCTCAGGTTAGAATGAAAGAAAGATAACACCGTAAAATGCCTTGCGATTTCTGAGGATAAGTGCTGACCATAAATTAAATTAAATTATATTTCCTTATCAGTTCCAATGTCCGGACTCAAGAAAGTGTCTACCCCCCCTATTTGTTTTATCTTTATCTATATTAGAGCAGTTTGTTGATATTGGATTTGTATACTCATATATATCTGTGGATTAGGTCTCCTCAAATTGGTGTAATGGCAAGGAAGCTTGTCCCGCTAGCAATTACCAATGACTAATGAGTTCGAACCTCACCGGTTGACCCATACTTTCGGCCTTGTGCCATCAAACTATATATCGTGCATATATACATATATAGTGGACCGTTGGTGTTTGCGTGTTGTTGTATTAGAAACACGTGTATCACTCCTGGTAGAAAGGTCCAACTACAAGAAAATGGCCGGACCTGAATTAAGTCCAACTGAAGATAAAGATGACAAACAAGACCGATACATATATATATATATTAAACAATACAATTTTACAATGGACGTAGACAATAATATTTGTGTTTGTGAACGTTTGTGTCTGTTCTTTGGTGAACGTTCGTACGTACGTGTACGTGTGTATAATGTTCATGGCGTCTCTCACAAATGGGAAGACGCGGATCTTCTAAGAGAGCTTACATTGTAGTCACTGAAATGAAGAAATGAAAAAAAGAACCAGGCGAGAAGTCGCCCAGTATTTATAGTATAATGAGAATGACCCCTAGTGACTTATTTGGGAATTAAGGAGGAGCTAACTCCGACACATATACAGATTATACTGGTTCGCACTCCTCCCCAGTTTTTTGAACAGTAGAAGTTTATTCCTTGTTTCCTGTTTAAGATTAGGCTTCCGGTTCGTTAAAGATTCCCAGTAACCCCTTGTGTCTGAGTGGCCTCATCGGATTGTTTGGGTTGAATCAATAAGAAAGAGCTTTTTTTTTTTCTTTTTGTCGAGGAAGAGGGGTTTGTTTTTTTTTTTCGTTTTTTTGTTTTAGTTTTATATTTTGTGCACAATGTTTGTTTTATTATAATTTCCAAATAAAAAGCTAATTGAATTATACTTTGGTTAATCTCTCTCTGAAAAGGATTATCTATCTTCGAATACTTCAGTAAAATAAAAACATTCAAGAAAATACAGTATAACCCGGATATAAGAGAGTTGTCGGGACCGGAGAAGAAGTCTCTTATATCCGGGTTTCTCTTATATCCGGGTTTGGTCTATTTTATATACATTAACACAGGCTCTAATTTGGGACCAGAGAAAATCTCTCTTATATCCGGGTTTGGTCTATTTTATATACATTAACACAGGTTCTAATTTGGGACCAGAGAAAATCTCTCTTATATTCGGGTTTCTCTTATATCCGGGTTACACTGTATTAACATAGAATTGCTTTTCCGTAACAGATTGTGACTGTTATTAGAGAGATGTGATTAAAAAAATAATCATAAATACGTAAAAAATGTGTATATTGTGGAAAATAATAAAACCGAATAATTATTTTTTAAATATTAAATTAAAGTATATTTAATCATTAAATATACTTTAATGTTTAAAAATAATTATTCGGTTTTATTATTTTTTTTAAGTAATAAGCATTATAACATAGAAGAAATAAATATATTGTGGAAAAAGGAATTTTCCACAATATACACATTTTTTACGTATTTATGGTTATTTTTTTAGCTTTTATCAAAAACGACATTCTTGTGCATGTAGTTATGGATATTAGCTTTATTAATTAATAACTATTTGTGCTCAGTTGTTGACATTAATAGCTATCTGCTAATGTGTTAAAATTTTGGAATAATAATAAAAATTTAAATATCATCTCTCGGAGAGATGTCACGATAAAAAGATTCACTTCAGTAAGTGCCAATCTTAAACACGTCAGTGCATAAGATGAAGAAGTCTGTTAGATTTGGAAGGAGTACCAATTTTTACCCTCTTCTTTTAGACGTTTGTTTTGTCATAATTTCCAAATAGCAGCAATAATGCCGAGATATAACTTTGGAAGATTAAAAGAAAAAGAAAATATTCGTCGTATTTTAGCGATTATAAAATTGCCGTGTCACTGTCACTAGATTTTCATTCGGTACCAACAACTGGCGACAAGAGAGAAGAGTGTGAGATTAAGGAAAAAAAAAAGAAGCTATGAACAGAAAGGGAGGGTGGTGGTACGAAGACAAAAAGATAGAGAGGGCAAATTTGAAGAGGGAGTAGACGGAAGGGGAGGGCAGGAAGTCAAGATGTGCTACTGATAGTTGAAGTTGATAAGGGAAGTTGAATGGCGTATGATTTAACTGGGTCAGGTAAAGATTTATTTGATAGGACTCTTAAGTTTGGAAATGGGGGAAAGGGGATTCTCTCCTTCCACTCTTTTCGGTTAGGTGCAGATGAAGAGAGAAAGAAAAATGAAGGAAAGCGAGAGCGGAAGACGGGAGGAAGAGGAGGAGGGGGGGAAGAGAAATAAAGAGGCGAAGAAAGAAAGACAGAGACAAAGAGAGAAATGTCAGGAAAAAAAACGAAAGAGAGAAAAAAGAAAGACAATTGAGAAAAAGTGAAAAAGAGAAAGAAAAAAAGAGAAAGAGGAGAATCAGAGAACAGAAGAGAAAAAGAGAAAAAGAGAAAAAGAGAGGAAGACGGCTAAAAATGAAACAGAATGAGACAAAAGGAAAATAGAAATGAAAAAGAGAAAAAGAGAAAAGGAAAGACAGAAAAAGTGGGAGAGAGAAAAAGTGGGAGAGAGAAAAAGAGGTACAGATGAAAAAGAACAAAAAAAACGAGAAAGAGCGGAAAAATAAAGACAGAAAGAAAAAAAGGCGGAAAAAAAGAGAAAGAAAAAGATAAGTGATGTCAAGAAGGCGAAAAACAAAGCTGTCAAAAACTGAATTTAGCAAAATCAGAGCTCGCTAGAATAGATTGCAATTGAATCACCAGAACAATACAATCTGAATAACAAATATTGATATCTACTAAGCAAAGTATCGCACAAAACCAAAAATATGGAAAACCAACTGTAGCTCAAACTCAATATGGTTAGTAATGTTCCGTGAGACAAGTTTCTAAGTCATTACTAGGCGTTGAGGCGCGTAATTATCTATTAAGATTACCTTAGTTTGGTCCAATGTCACGGATATAGATTAAACAGTGGAGCTCAGTACTTAAGATCTTGTGCCAGACTATACATGTCTTCACTGCAACGTATGGATAAAATCCAATATCGTCACGTAACTTCTATTTAAATATATTTGAAAATCATTTTTAATATATAAGAGTACAGATCTATAAATCCTTTTAGTCTGACTGAAATATTAACTGAATTTGATCCGAAATGTGCTCTGTATTATGATCGATCGATGTGATCAATAGAGAAATGCGGGATTAAGTGCATTGACAAGAAAGAAGATAAAGCTGACAAATATTTATTGTGTCAGATAGATAGATAGATAGATAGATAGATAGATAGATAGATAGATAGATAGATAGATAGATAGATAGATATGAACAGGTTGAAACAGAAGAGCAAAAGAAATGAAATAGAATGTCATATTTGTATAAATGTCAAATTTTCAAATTGTAATTCTGGGTTAAAAATAACCTTACATCACAAACAACAAGCTCAACAACAACAATAATAATAATAATAACAACAACAATAATAATAACATTGCTTTTTGTATTTTCTTTGTTTTTTTTTTGTTTTTTTTAGAGAGTGTAATCAAGAGAGATTTAAATGAAATATGTTGATATTTAAGGAACGTTTACAGAAGCAAAAATTCAGTTTGCTTAACATTTGGATAGGAGTTCGTTATATAAAATTTCAGCAGTTGTCTTTATGTGTTCGGTTAAAGCAACATTTATTATTATTATTATTATTATTATTATCATTATTATTATTGGTGACAGTTTTTCACTATCAACAAGAAGGCCGATGTGAATCCAAGGCTTAGCAGTCTAGAAGGATTCCATTTAGGCAAAAAGTCTAATTTTCTCTTTTCAACTCTTTTCAAAAATAAAATTCTATATATCAACCTAAATCGTTTCACTGTAAAAGGCGGGAACAACCAGTTTTCTACTTCCGGGTATTATTTGTTTTTTGTTTTTTTGTTTGTTTGTTTTTCTCTTCTTCTTCCTTATTATTAATATTATTAAAAATGATAATAATAATAATAATAATAATTTATTTGCTGAATGCTTCGTTCACTCGCGAATGAATATATCGATTCAGTCAGAAGGTTTTTCCTGTAAGAAATACAAATCTAAGCGAATCCCAGCGATTTTATGGACTTTTTTTTTTTTTTTTTCGTAAAATTCTTCTTTTCAGCCAGGAGAGCCAAGAAAAAGTAATCAATGTCTATTTAAATAAAATAAAACTTCTTTTCTTTTTTTTATTGCTTTCTCTTGCTGTCGAACTTTCTTCTCGTTCTAAAAGTACCACACCATGCAGTAGTGAACCTACATTTTGAGAATCCCTGAAGCTTGAATGACTAGGGCGGATGTGGGGGTGTGGGGCTTCGCAACCAGCAACAACAGATCCGAGGATCCCACAGACAAAAAGTAGGTTATGAATAGATTCTTGTGATCTCAACATACAGCTGGGTGTTCCGGCACTGCAGGCCCCCAAGAAAATTTTGAAATTTAAGCAATTACATGGGAGTTTTAAGGCCATATGAAATGGGTATGAGAACATATTCTAAGGTCAATATTAGTTGCTTCAACCCATTGGCTTATGACCCTATCATTAAAATGGACTTATTTTAATAGCAAACACTGGTTTTGTTTGAAAAATTAACTCATTAAAAAATATTCCTTAGGGTCGTCTGGGACTAGGGGCCTTTTGGGACTAGAGGTCCTCTGGGACTAGGGGCCTTTTGGGACTAGAGGTCCTCTGGGACTAGGGGCCTTTTGGGACTAGAGGTCCTCTGGGAGTAGTGGCCTTGAAGTTTAAGCTTCTTTAATTTTTTTTTTTTTAGTAGATCTGCTACTGGCACCATGACTCTAACAAGAAAAATAATGTTTTCAAATAATCTACAGAGAATGGATTTTGTCGCTAATATCTTTGGGTGTTTGACGTGCAAGAAATTCTTCTTCCGGTCTGTACTTAGCAGTGCTCAAAAGTACTCGACCAAGATCCCTTAAAATATTTCATATAGATGACACTTGATCACATTTTCGGAAGTGAATCGGACTGATAACATTTTCAGATGAAGAAAAAAATAAAACGAAGAAGAAAGATTTTTTTTTTAAATTTACCACAGATTATATATTTAAACTAAGTGCATGATCAATTTCAGTGAGTTTTTTTTATTTCTCTATTTTTTTTATAAAAAACTTTTTTTTCTTCATATTATTTCATTTTATTAATGTAGAATTAAAATTTAAAAAAACAACAAAGATGTGTTTGATACATGTCTCAAAATAACCTATATCTGCTTTAAACTTTCTGCACTGGTTGCATTAGTAAATATACAATATAGATACATGAGCACTCTCGTATATCGATGCCAATCATACACATGTAGATAATAACGAAATGAAAGGACACAGGATTGATGCAGACAGGGGAAAACCAGGGTTGGCATGAAACGAAACAAAGTCTCTTAAAAAGTTTCAGCAGAAAGTCCAAGCTATGAGCATAGCGTAAAGAAAATTTCATTAAATAAGTCATTTGTTTTTAAAACCATCTCAGGTGGCCATTCTATAAACGACTAAAAAGGGATTTGTACTTCTGTCTGATGTCAGTCCAAGAAAGCTGGTCAGTGATCAAAAGATGATTTTGGTCAGGAATGAGAAGGCGTATGAGAATACAAAAAAATTGGTGTGTTGATTGCAATCGGGAAAATTGAACAATTGGTCTATCAGTGTCGTCTAAAAGAAAAAAAAAAGCATTGTGACAGTGATTAAAGCCTCAATTCTCACTTCCCTCCTGTCAAAAAATTTTAAAAAATCATGTGTCACTTTTAGTAGTGGTTGACATTAGTCATTATCAGAAGCCTGAAAATAGGTATTGGCGATTTTCTCAAAAAAAAAAAAAAAATATTCGTCTAATTCGGATATTCTTGAAGTCAATACCACTACTATTACTATTCAGAATAATAATAATTATAATACCACTACTACTACTATTAATAATAATATTACTACCCCTACTACTACTATTCATAATAATAATGATTAAACTGATGGATACTGATGATAATCATGACCAATACTTTTTCCTCTTTTTTAATAGAAAAATTTTTTGTAACTTGTCAAATGCTTAAATATGAGGGTGGACAAATAAATTTGTAGTATTACATTATATATATATATATGTGTGTGTGTGTGTGTGTGTGTGTTTGTGTGTAATATGTATAGCTTTTAAATTATGGTATATTTATGAGAGAAAAGTATTCAATAACACGAACAGATAGTATGTAAATACAAGCAGTGTGGACATAGATCTCAACATTGAATGTCGACAGTGTTTCTTGCGTAAAGTGCAAATTATATATATATATATATATATATATATATATATATATATCAATAGAAGCAAAAAGACAGAAGGAAAACTGTATTTAATTTCAACCATCGCGTTGACGGACTTTATCAAAGGCAAATCTACATTATATTTGAGAATATATATATATATATATATATATATATATATATATATATATATATATATATATACATAAATATTAAAATGAAAAGAATATATCTCTTGAAAGATTTACTATGTACGGATTACAACAGCTTGTATCAATAATTAAAAGTTTATCTAGATAAAGAAATGTTTTTTTTTTGTTTCATTGAGTAAGTCAAATTTGCTTGACTTAACAGATGTCTAACTGACTAGCAATTAATATTTTCCCCCAATAAATAAATGCGCTCGAAATGTCGAAGATTTCTTAATGATCAAAATAAGCATGTACAAGTTCACTAACCGCTTTCTGAGATAACCCTAGCTAGACTGACCAATAAAGATGCACTCATCTTAGTTGAGGCCTGACGTGATGGAATAAAGCCTCACCAACCAATTATTCAAGAAGCTTAAACCTCTATTTGCCTACCCAGAAAGGCGAATGTGACACAGGGTCAAGTTTAATATGGACGTTTCACAAGCGTGCGTGTTGGTAGAGGCAAGGATCTCCCAGTCGCCACAGCCTGTACCACAAAAACGTCAAAATGACTCGCAACCTTTTTTCTTTACATGTAATGGGGAGGTACTGTCCCAGAGGTGGATTATCCAAAGACCAGGCGTATGAGCGATAATTTTTGTTCCTGATCTCGCTCGAAGACAAGACAACGTTGATGCCAGCCTTGAAGGAGATATTGCGCAAGCAATACACCAGAGCAGTCATTTAAAAATGTCAGAGATCACAAGACAGGAAGAAGAAACCAGTGTTAACCAATATGAATTATGTCTATATCGCTCAGATTAAGAATAGAAAAGAAAAATTGTTTTTAATATGTGGAGTTAAGAAAGTGACTGACAAAACAAGTAATTGATATGGGAAAAGATGGACTATATTAAAGGATTTCCGGCTGATCTCAAAATCTGAACTAAATCGTTAGAAACTGCTATGAAAATGTATGCGCGATGATTGGTTCTGCTTAAATATTCATCATCTCTTGCAGAAATGTCTGTTGATCTTCATACAGGAAAAAAAAAGAATTATAAAAGACAGATGAGACTAGGAAAGGGGCGACCAAGAATATAAATACATTTACTTGAAACCATTTCTCGTCTGCCACTAGAGGCAGATAGCTAGTGTGAAAAGGCATACCAGGGAGAAGGTGGCAATGATAGTCATCGAGGGATGGTGAAAGGAAGTCAGTAAGGGTTCAATGATAATCTTATGTCGATTTGAAAGATGTTCTCATTGGAAACTTGTTTTCTATGTCGATAGGAAGAATTATCAACGATTATGTGGCAATCAACATTCTTAGACTCAATTCTTTCAAAAAATTCTGGTTTCTATTACAAATTTTAAAAAGAAAGTCATTTTGTTTTTTTTTGTTTGTTTTTTTGTTTTTTGCTTCATAGAAAAAGGGGGCAGTTTTGAGGAAGAATACAAAATGAAAATGACGTTCAACAAAAGAACGCTGAACATTCTGATAAAAATGGCGAAATTTTCTTCTTTTTTTTTTTTTTTAACTGATATCTATTATTTCTCATAGCTTTTGCGGATGTCTTATTGAAAGTGTTCTCGTCAATAGACCTGATTGTCTCTCAAGATGTCAATTTTAACTGAATCATTCCCGGGTGATGCGAGAAAGGGAGTGATTGTCACTTTGGGGGAATTTCACAATAAAACTAGTTTCGTTGTTATCTTTGCTCACAAAGCAGCACGCTATTTTATGATGCACGAATAAGAGAAGATGGAACATACGCGGCAAACGCCAACACTCTCTAATATATGCAATGATATTTAAATAGTCTCATTACCGACTACTGTAAAGATTGCCATCAGTATAACATTGTTTATGGATATATATATATATATATATATACATCAAATACTTATATACCTAAATGAATAATACATCTCTATCTGTGCGCGTATATTCAAAGAATTCTTAAAATACCGCTCAGTCGAATCAAAAATAACATCAGTGAAAAAAGTAGATTCAAGTGGAAGATCGAAACGTTCAATTTATGAAGAATTACTACAAGTCTAAAGACATTCCTGTTGAAGTTGGCATTGCATATTCTTAGTCTTCTTAAAATATAATTTTCTACTTTATTTTATATCAAGATGCGTTAAGAAGATTCCGATTTTTTTTTTTAAGATCTCATATTGCAATCTGTTTCAACATTCCGACAATTCTTTTTTGTAAATAATTAATAGAAAGAAAGAAAGAAAGAAACGGTTTTACAATTCGTACAGGAGAAAGGTAGTTGCTTGCTTGTCCCCAGTATGGATTACGATAAGTTAGTCACGTGATCACTCTTCAGTATCGTTTTGTTCTGGGAAATAACGAAAATATATTCTCCCCCTATATAATTTTGTTGTTGTTGTTTTTCCCAAGAATTTAAGCAAGAATTGTACTTTTATATTACCTGAAGACACACACACACATTATATATATAATATTTCAAACGTTAATATAGTGGACACTCGTATGTCGGATTAAAAATACATCCATTAATTTATTATATATATATATATATATATATATATATATATATATAAAATCAGCGTAATACAGTGTTATAAGTACATTTTCGACAGTCTTGTGTGATTGATTTTAATTTATGGACGGTCAGATAAAACTGACACCGTAAATAAATGAAAAAATAAGTCGTTGACAATTCAATTGAAAGAAAAAAATGGCTGTTTAAGACATATTTGGTAAAAATGAAAAAAAAAAAAAAAGGATTCTTAACTGACATGGTAACACTGACTTCATTGAAATGCCAATTTCTCTCTCACATGATTTATCGAAAATGTAATTTCTTCAGCTTTGTGTACACTTTATAAAAATAATCTTTTGGAGTTTAGTTATTGTTCTTTTTTGCAATAACGATAGGAATATGGGGGATTAAAACAATTTCGAAATTAACCGATTATTTTAATGGAAAAAAAGAAATTGGTTAAAAAAATTATGCTTCTTCTTAACAGACAAACAAAAATAATAATGGAAAAATTGAAAGAAGGTGTAAATTATTTAAAAAAAAAGAAAGAAAAGGAAGCGATCTAGTCAGTGTTAGAGAAAAACTTATAAAAATGAGAAAAATAGATAGATAGATGCAGGAAAAAATGTTAAGATGTTTAAGGGGTCCACAGACACACGCACGTAAGTAAGGAACACTTGTAATTCAAGTTGCTAAGACGAATAAATAAATAAAAACAATGTTAAAACAACTAACAATGTAAAATCAGTTTCTCTACCGTCAACAATTAGCGACAGTCGTTGAAAAATGTAATTTCTTGAGGGATATAAGGTGCTGTGTGCATTATATGTAGATGAAATTTGAAAATGGTGTCTTCCTATCTACAAACACAGACTGACAAACATTTAGGCAAAGCGAGCAAGAAAGCACTTCAAAACAGACAAGTGGGTGCATTTTCAAAACTGGGAGAAATAAATACAGTTTTTGGACCCCCCCCCTTTGCACGTTATCAGTTTTGTTGAGGACTATTGCTCCATAGATGATGATGAATTAAAAAAAAAAAAACAACAAACAAACAAACAAAAAAAAAAAAAAAACTTACCTTCGGTATTTCCTTGAGTGGGGTCCGTAGGAGGTTCCGTGGGACTCCTGTTTGGAGCGGGTCCATCCATGTTTTCCATAGTGTTTAAATCAGAGAGAGAAACTTGATAAGCTAAAGGAGCAGCTATTTTGATTCCGAATGTGTAACGATTGCAAACGAAAGTGTTTAGACAGCCCTTGTAGGCTTCGTTGATTCGAGCTCACGAGAGGAGGGAGGGTGGATGACACAGAAGAAAGAGAAAGTGTGTGTGTGTATGAAATAGAGTGAGACAAACGCGAGAGAGAAGGGGAGTTAGAAAGAAAGATAGATAGACAGACAACTACCACAACTAGTAGTAAAAGACAGCTCGTAATGGATGTTGCAGTAACCAATACAACAACAAATGTAGAGGCAGTGTGTGAGCGTAAAATCGTCACGAGAGCTGGAGAAAAACGAAGCAGCAGCAGCAGCAGCAGCAGCAGCCGGATTTGTTAAGGTTTGGAGTAGTAGCGCCGCGGTAGCAGTGTATTTAAAATCGCGAGATGGCGGTGCAAACGAATCTTGTGTCGAACCTGGTGACGGAGGAAGCAGGTAGAGGATTTTGGCTACTACTAAACAAGGAATAAGGGCTTTAAATCAAACAATACCGGCAAATACCGCTGCCAACAACACGGAATTCTTCCAGTTGTCTTATTAATTTTAAAACTTTTTTTTAAATTTTTTATTATAATTACAAAAATTATAATTTTTTTTTTTTAAATACGGGATCAAATAACTGCGTCTTGATTTACAATGATGTTGGAAAAATATTTTTTAAAAAGATTTTTTTTTCTTTTAAATCTTTGGTAAAAAATATATATTATATATATTATCTTTCTCTGATTTAAACTCCTGGAAAAGTTATGGAAGAAGTTGATGAAAAGCTCCCACTGAAGTGGATAGTTGCAAAAAAAAAAAAATTAAATACCAATTCTTGGGAAAATTAAGCTTTTTTTTCTTTTTTTGAAAAGAATTTGGTTTCTTTTGTTGACTAATTCCAGGCGTATACTAAACAAATTGTTCCATATGTATGGAAGAAAAACGCGCGGTGATGAAACAATACTTTTATGCGCAGATGAGATACACACCAAATCTTGAAGAATTCAAACAACTGTGGAAGTGATGAGATGTATTTCTATGAAATTGATGCTTTTACTGGTAGTGGGGTGTGAGTGTGTCTTGGAAGGATCCAACACGATTATAGCATCAGTAGTTGTTGTTGTGAATTAACCCCCTTTTCTTTTCTTTTTTTTTTTTAGTAATCCCTCTTTTTCCCTTTTTTTGGAGGTTCGCCTGGTGAATTTTTTTTTTTTTTTTTTTTTTTTTTTAGCAAAAAGGTTTTTAAAACTTGTAAATCTCTCCTTAGTTTTTGGTTTGTTTGTTTGTTTGTTTTTTTTTGTTGTTGTTGTTGTGATTTGTGTGTATGTATGTCTGTGGACTGCAGGGCACCGCGTAAAAGTGTGTACTACGGGAAGCGAGTTATGACTTCTAATTTTTCCCTTATATAAACAACAGTCTCACCTTCCAGCACTGACACACGGATCTCTTTCTTTCTTTCTCCCTTTTCTCTCTATTTCGATCTCTCCTCACACTCTCTCTCTCAGTCGTATTTGATCCTCCTACTCCTCCCCCGTCTTTTTATCGATTACTTACAGTCTTTATTGTAACTTTCTTTCTCTCTAACGATTTGGTAGCACAGAATTCGTCAAGAAGTCAGTAGCAGCAGCAGCAGCACAAAAGCAAAAGAATTTAAAAAAAAAAAAAAGAAAAAGAAAAGAAGAGTTCTAATTATGAAAGAAAGAAAGACAAAGAGAGACAAATACAGGAAAAGAAAGACGTTTGTCTCCACGTACACCAGAACAATAGTAAAAATGCTTTTGCTAGATTCAACCCCCCCCCTTTCTCCGGTACACCTCACCACCATCATCTTTTACTGATTGATAAATTTGTGTATGTGTGTACGTTTGGATTTTGAACAAGATATAAATAGCATTCCGTACATTCTCTGATTTAGAGAATTTTATTTTCAGGCATGTCATTTTTCAAAGGTCTCTCCGTTTACCTACATACGAGAGAGAGAGAGAGAGAGGACTGATGGAAGAAAGGAAGCATTCAGTTACAATCACTTGTGAGTTGTGTATATTCAGTAAATTGGTTGGGAAAAAACAGACTGATTGAAAACTCTAAGAAAGTGAAATTTAGGAGCATTTTTGTCTTAATTCACCACCTAGTCACTATATATATATATATATATATATATATATATAGTGTGCGCGTGTGTATCTTTCAGTGCGACAACGTCGCTACCGAATTTGACACAGGGTCAGTTTAAAGTACAACCGGCCTTTTCATATCTATTGGTCGTTTGATCTACGTTTGTTAAATCTATCCATCTAGGCCTATTCAAATCTATCTATCTACCTAGACCTATATATATATATATATATATATATATATATATATATATACATATATATATATATATACATATATATATATATATATATATATATATATATATAAAGCCTCACTCTCAGCTTATTCATCTACTATCTACTTAGGTCTTGGTGGACGAGTTAAGTATCTAGTATCCTGTTTTTAAACCAAAATAAAAGTCAGAAAGTCACGACTAATGAAAATGTTTTCATTTTACCAATTGGTAACTTGGCGCCAGATTCTTCCGAACACTGCAGTTTCTGTACATTCGCGTACTTTTAAAATCTGCCATGCGCACTTGAACAACATAGAGTACACTATTTTTTTTTTCTTTCTTTCTCCTTTATTTGCCTTCCTTATTAATGCCCAAAAAATGTTTAAATCTTTAAATATTTTTCGCGCTTGGGAGTGATGCTGAAATTGAATGTTATAAAAGCAGAAACAAGGGCACATTACCGTGCAATAATTACTACTGTGGCGTGTGTTCGATACATATTGGATGAACAGTATTCTTGTCCATATATCAGACCTAGTTTAAGCTTCTTAAATTATCTTTTAGGTCTAGGGAGAGCCTCTATCGGGCTATTCTCGGAGACAAATTCACTCGTGTCGTTAATAAAATCGTTCCTCATTAGGTGGCCTACCTCTTTGTTTGGTCTTGTGCTAAGCTCAGTTTAGGAAATACCGGAAAATGCGTAAGGATTAATTGTCCTAATTTATTCGGAATTAATTTTGGAGGATAATACTAAAAACGAAATAAAACAAAAAATGGCACTGTAATTTATGGTTTAGCATGCAATTAAATATTTTCATTTTGTGTACACTGTATATTTTGTCATTTCATCTGGGGGTCTGCTCTGTTAAGGTTCTAAAAGATGCTGTTTCCGAAACCGAGGAGAACCAGTGATTATGTGTGTCTTTCTTGAACAGACCGACACAACGGACCGCACGTACATTATATATTATAAAATATAAATGCTTCTACTACTACTGCGGAAAAGGTGAAGTTTGGTGATTCTATGCGTGCCTAGATGATGGTGGTGGCTACGCAGAAGCTATAGAATGCAACAAAAAAAAAATAGCAACCTTTGGTTCATATTGAGAATTAGATAGAACAAGGGAGGAAAAACGCGTTATATGTATGCGATTAGAAATATGGGGTGAAAATAACTATTCTTATCGTAACTTTTTACTCAAAAAGAGAAATCAGAAATCGAGAGAAGAAGAAAGAAAAGCAAAGAAAGGGAGAAGTCTGAGAAAAAGAGAAATGGATAGAATGCGAAAAATATAGAAAAAGTGAAGGCAAATGAAAACTAGAAAGAGAAATAGAGGAAAAGATAATCAAACAGAGAGAGAGAGAGCAACAGAGAGAAAGAGAGAGAGAAAACAAGAAAAGAGAGACTGAAAGAGAGAGAGAGACGGAAAAAGATAGCGATAGAGAGACCATAAAAATAGAGAAAGAGAAAGAGCGGTAAAGACAGAGAGGTAATGACCAAAAAAGACGGAGAGTGAGACAGTGAGTGACAAAACAGACTGAGAGAGAGAAAAAGACATGCAGAGACAAGCAGAAAATTATATATATATATGAGAGAGAGAGAGAGAGAGTCAGAAAAATAAAGAGATGGAAAAAAAAGACAAAGTAACAGAAAAAAAGAAAGCAAGCAAGAAAGAAAGAGTGAACCATAAAAAGGATTATATATATATATATATATACACATGATCCTCACTGGGGTGTTCCATACTTTTGGCCTCGAGCCACATTTAAGCTATGGTTAGTAAATTTCTCACACACACACACACACACACACACACATATATATATATATATATATATAAAGATAAAGAGAAAAAGATGTGAGAAAGAAGAACAAAAAGAAATGCAAAAAAAAAATGTTTCAAAAGCTCAAAACCGCTTAATGGGAAAAAAATAGACTTGTTGGAAAAATGGTATATCAAATATGGAATCTCAAAGAGCTGAAGAAGCTGGGCATTGCATGCACTTGAGCAAAAGCCACGAATCTTTGCTCCTTTGCCCAAACCCCGCCAAAACAACTCCTTCGTTTCTGTAGAAGAAAAATGCCGAACGGAGATAAGGGATCGGCGGATTTTTCTTTCATTCCTCATCCTCCTGCTGTTGCTAATATAACTTGGAATAAAAAAAAAATAATTATCACTCCCTACCGGACGATTCCTGTGAGAAGATTATTAAAAGATGAAGATGAAGACGAATAGACGTAAAAATATTGAACAAATTTAAACAAAACCTAAAAGAACATCTGTAATTTTAAACTTCCTTTTTTTTTTCTTTTACTGGATCTGGAAAGGTAATAATTTAACGCTACAAATCAGCATTTATACCGTGAAAATCTCTGAGGTACGATCTTTTAAAAAGTACTCAACCTGACCAAGGAAATCTTTTAAAACAATCAAAAAGTAAAATCTAATTTCGTTCACTTGCGGTATATTTTTATAAAAGACCGAGTTGTTCTTCTTAACGAAATGAAAAGACGATTTAGATTTTTATATCATTGGGCGTTCAAAATGTCGCCCAGCTTGGCACTTTTAACCAAGTTTGGGAAGCCCGAAAGGTGGCACTTTTAACCAAGTGTGGGAAGCCAGAAACTTGGCACTTTTAAACCCAATTGAGGAACCCTGAAACAGCACTAGTTATTTTTGCCCTCTCTTTCTTAGCCCGTACGTCGGTTTTTTGTCTGTTTATTTATTTTTGTTGCTGTTTTGTTTTCATTTTTGTTTTTTTGTTGTTATGTGGTTGATTTTATTTAGTGGCATATCAACCTCTATAGGTTATTCAATGCTGAAATCTAAATATTTTGAAAATAATTTTATGGCTTCAAGTACAGAAAACAATTCTTGTTGGTAATTTTACTATAAATAGGTATGGTTGCTAATTTTATACTTTCATAGTGTTTTGTTTTGTTTAGTGGTTCACTATCTGCCCATAGCTGGAACCCTAACTCCGGGTCAGGGTGAACCTGGAAACAACAGCAATTAAGTGGTAGTTCCACACTACTCAAAACCTGATGAGATGCTTTGCTGCCGGATGTAGTTTATCGTCATACCCAGAACGATGTTTTTGTTGTTCTTTTTTTTTTCTTTTTTTTTTCTTAATACCAAGTGATTTGATTTGGAGGGAGACCTTTAATCAAAGAAGCCCGCGGATAAAAATGTGTACATTAACCTTGTCAGCATCATGAACCGAGTACGGTCGTAGTATCACCCTGACCCGTTCCCTCCATATGTTTCAGCTGCATGCCAATATCTGAGTTTATTCTAATGATCTTCAAGTCCACGCGTTGTCAGTCTATTTTTCCTTCTGTCTGTCCCTTCGTCGTTTTCCTGAGGAAGATCTTGTAGGAGAGCAATGGACAGATAGTTGGCTTTTATGTCGTGACCATACAATATTAAGTTTTTTTTTGTCTTTTTGACGGTGGGTAAGAGGTTCTCCTACTTCTTGCTTGATGGTGTCGCTCATTGCCTCATTTCTAGTGCTGCATATATCGGAGATGCCGAGGATGGTCCTGCAGCATCTTATTTCTAACGTTTGAATTCTTTGTTGTAATTCTACTGTTACCTTTACAAGTACCATCTACATAATGGGTGGACAATTGTTTCTGAGGGTGACGGACAACCCTCCTCCTTGGTGAATGGTCAGATTTACACATGTTAGTAATTCAAGCATTCGGACAATCAAAATTCTAATTAAATGTCTATGATTCTATACAAAGTAAAGCTTAAAACCAAATTCGGCAAAGACATAGGGGGGGGGGTACCAATGGCATAGGGATAAAAACAAGTACTGAAAAGCGCTCGAGCTGTCCAAACATACCAGAATCAGTGTTCCGGCATTTGTTTATGGAAATAATCATTTTAGGAAGCTGGTTGGCCTGAGCAATTTTTTTTTTTTTTTGTGTGTGTGTGTGTGTGTGTGTGTGTGTGTGTGTGCGCGCAATCGTGTACATAAAAGGGATCTCCAAAGTGGTCCCCTGGTGATTGATGGCACTCTCCAAGAGGAGTTCGATAAATACCTGGGTGTCAAAAGCCATGCAAATACAATACTAATTAAGCAGCGGAACAGACTAAACCAGAGTGGGAAAGGGTGACTTACTACTAAAACTCACCAATTTCCAACCAAATACCTCCTTCCCGTTAATAATATCAACCAATTCAATAAAAAAAGGTTTATTAATTTATTTTTAACGTGTCTATGAACTTTTCCCTATCATTATCATTAAACATGTCTATTGATTGATTGATTTGTTTTTACGGTTTATCAACCCTTTTGTAGGTTATTTAAAGCCGAAACATATATTGGGATTGAAAGAATAATTATTTTTGCGAGTGAATATTGTATTGACAATTTCTTGTAGATAATGATTTTCATATACAAGTCTTATTATTTTACCCCACAGATGGATGAAGAAGAGGAGGATTCATACCTTTCTCAATGGTATTTACGCGTAAGCGAATGTAGATGAACCTAACTGGAATTCGGACTCGGATTTCCAAATTCTTATTCCGAGTCCTTATCTATTACACGACTTGCACATCCAACCTTACAGCACCTGTTATTCGCAAGCAGTCCAGGCTCAACATTACTTAGCTTCAGTGATTGGACGAGAATCGGTGTTTTAATGTGATTTGGCCGTGAGTTGTTG